ATAGTTTGAGTTCATCTTTTCCTATTCATATCCCTTTAATTTCTTTCATCTGTCTGATTGCTCTGTCTAGAGCAAGGACTCTGTTGAATAGAAGTGGTGAGAGAGGGCATCCCTGTCTTCCTCCAGGGTTTAGAGGGAATGCTTTCAGTTTTTCTCCATTTAGAATGATGCTGGCCAGGCTTGGCATACATAGCTTTGACGGTGTTGACATATGTTCTTATTATCCCTAGTTTTTCCAGTATTTTGAACATGAAGGGTGCTGTGTGGGAGGCCCTCACACTGTGTGACCAGCATTTTCCTTCTCCGATTGGTTGAGGCTCTGTCGGTCACTTCCAAGTGATCTGGCCACATCAAAGTGGCCCTAGATGGCTGCCCCGATCTTGGATGTGGCAAAATGTCACAGAATGTGTCTTCATGCATAGGCGTGTCTTCCTGTAGCCTCATGGGCCAACCTACGCTCACCTGTTCCTTTGTGATATTACCCCCTTGCCCTGTTTGGGATAGAATGTTCCATGGAAACGCCCTTTGTGTGTCCCCTTCTCTTGCTCTGCCCTTGGGTGTGGCCTTCCTAGATGTCAGTCAGCCTGCTGACAGTGGACATCAGGAAGCTAGACTCAGCCCCCTGAAACCTGACCCCTTGCCTAGGTTGAATGGCTTCTCCTCAATAAAAGGGGTCAGCTCCCTTGCTCGCTCGCTCTCTCTCTCTCTCTCTCTCTCTCTCTCTCTCCCTTTCTGCGGATGCTTAAGGTCAGAGGAGCCATCACAGGATCCCCAAAGAAAAAGGTATCTCTGTCCCTAGTGTGATTATTTCACGTGGCCCAGTTCCCCTGGAGTGACCCTGAGTGTTCTTGTCGCTGGGAATGGGACAGGGCTGTATTTTGTCAAATGTTTTTTCAGCATTGTTTGGTACGATCATAGGATTCTATGGTGACGTCTGTTGATTTCCATATGTTGAACCAACCGTGCATGCCTTGGATGAACCTCACTTGATGGTGGTGCAGTCTCTTTTTAATATTTTTGTATGTGATTTGCCAGAATTTCATTGAGAATTTTTGCATCTATGTTCATCAGGGATGTTGGTCTGAAGTTTTCTTTACTTGATGTTTCTGATTGATTTTATTATCATGGTGATACTAGCTTCATAGAATGAGTTTGGAAGGGTTCCCTCCTTTTCTATTTCATGGAACAATTTGAGAAGTATTGGTGTTAATTCGTCTTTGAAATCTTGTAGGACTCAGCTGAAAATCGGTTGGATCCTGGGCTTTTCTTGGTTGATAAGCTTTTTAAGGCATGTCCTAATTCATTGCTTGAAATTGATCTGTTTAAATCATGTATGTCCTCCTCATTCAGTTTAGGTAGGTCATGTATCTAGAAATTTGTTGATGTCCTCAAGATTTTCTGTTTTATTGGAGTATACATTTTCACAACTATGTCTGATTATCTTTTGTATTTTAGTAGTGTCTAATGTGATATTTCCCTTTACATCATGAATTTTGTAATTGGAGTTTTCTCTTTTTCTTCATTAGTGTGGCTAAGGGTTTATAAATTTTATTTATTTTTTTCAAACAATCAACTTTTTGTCTTGTCATTTTTTTGGATTGTTTCCTTTGTTAGTTTTATTGCTTTCAGCTCTGGTTTTAATTATTTCCTGTCTTCCAGTGCTTTGGGGGTTGATTTGTTCTTATTTTTCTAGGGCTTTGAGATGTAATGTTAGGACATTTATTTGTTGACTTTTTATTATTTTAATGAATGAGCTCAATTGAATGAACTTTCCTCTTAGCACTGCCTTCTACTGTCCCAGATATTTCAGTATGTTGTATTGCTATTCTCATTTACCTCTAAGTATTTTCTTAAATTTCAATCCTGATTTCTTCTGGTATCCATTCATCATTAAATAGTGTATTATTTAGTCTCCAGGTATTAGAGTAGGTTCTATTTCTTATTCTGTTATTGATTTCTAATTTCATTCCATTATGATCTGATGAAATACAGGGTATTATCTCTATTTTTTGTATTTGCTAAGATTTGCATCGAGACATAAGATATGGTATATTTTAGAGCAGGATCTGTGTGTTGCTGAGAAGAAAGTGTATTCAATCATTCATGGATGAACTATTCTATATATTTCAGTTAAGTCTAAATTATTGATTGTATTATTGAATTCTATAGTTTCTTTGTTCCGTTTTTGTTTAGAAGATATATCCAGTGGTGAGAGAGGTGTGTTAAAGTCACCCAGTATTAGTGTCTTGTGGTCCATTTGATTCTTGAAATTGAGAGGTTGTTTTTTTAATGTATGTAGATGCTCCATTGTTTGGAGCTTACATATTTATGATGGTTATGCCTTGTTGATGTATGTTTCCCTTAAGCAGTATGAAATGTCCTTCTTTTTCCCTTCCAATTAACTTTGGCTTGAAGTCTGCTTTATCTGATATTAGGATAGAAACCCCTGCTTGTTGACAAGATCTGTGGGAGTGATATGTTTTTTCCCATTCTTTCACCTTCATGTCTTTGCCTATGAGAGGAGTTTCTTGGAGACAGCAGATTGTTGAGTCTTGTTTTTTAGTTCAGTCTGCTGGTCTATGTCTTTTGATTGATGAGTTTAAGCTGTTAACATTCAAGATTATTATTGAGATATGATTTGAGTTCCCTGTCATTTTGGTTTATTTCTAGCTTATAATTTGAATTAGTTTCTCCTTTGATTGACTCTTCCTTTAGTGTAGTTCTTCCCTTTCCTTATTTTCCCTTTAAAAAAAAAATTTCCTCCTCATGGAATATTTTGCTGAGGATCTTCTGTAGCGCAGGCTTTCTAGTTGCAAATTCTTTTAAATTTTGCTTAATCATGGAAAGTTTTTATTTCATTTTCAAATATGAAGCTTAATTTTGTTGGATACAAGATTCTTGGCTAGCATCCGTTTTCTTTCACAGCTTGGTACATGTAATTCCAGGTCCTCCTAGCTTTGAGGGTCTGGGTTGAGAAATCGGTTGATATACAGATTGGTTTCCCCCTATGTGTAATTTGACATTTTTCTCTCTCAGCCTTTACAACTCTGTATTTATTCTGTACCCTAGGCATTTCCATTACAATGTGCCTTGATGTAGATCTGTTGTAATTTTGTACATTTGGGGTCCTGTAGCCTTTTGTATTTGATTTTCCATTTCATATTTTAGATTTGGAAAGTTTTCTGATATTATTTTATTGAAAATACTGTACATTCCTTTGGTTTGTATCTCCACACCTTCATCCATCCTGATAAATCTTACATTTGGTCTTTTCATGTTATCCCATAATTCTTGGAAATTCTGTTCATGGTTTCTTAACATCTTCTCCCTGTGGTCAACTCTATTTTCAGGATTATGTATTTTATCTTCATTGCCTGAGGTTCTTTCTTCTAAGTGGTCTAGTCTGTTGGTGATGCTTTCTATTGAATTTTTAATTGTTTCCTTCATTTTGAATATTTATGCCCTTTTTTCCCCAGAATCTCTGCCTTATTTATTTATTTATTTTTGCATCAGGGACTGAACCCAAGGGCATTTAACCACCAAGCCACATCCCCAGCCTTTTTTAAAAAAATATCTTTTTAGTTGTCAATGGACCTTTATTTTATTTATTTAAATGTGGTGCTGAGAATAGAACCCAGTGCCTCACACCTGCTAGGCAAGTGTTCTACCACTGAGCCACAACCCCAGCCCCTCTGTCTCCTTATTGAAGTGATCTTTCACTTCTTGTATTTTTTTTAATCTAATTTCATTCTTTATACCATCTTTTACTTTGCAGATAAGTTTAACTATGTACATTCTAAACTCCTTCTCTGACGTTTCTTCCACTGTGGTGACAATGGATCCTGTTATTGGAGTATCTTGGTTGTGCCCTTGATTTTTCATGTGTCTACCCATCTAACAGTATGAATCTGAGGCAGTAGAGTTTCTACCTTGTGGACTTGCAGTGTCCCTGAAGGTTTCCTGTACCTCTCTGTTTAGGGGGAGACAAATAACAACAATAACAGTGGCACACACCTGTAATCCCAGTGGCTCAGGAGGCTGAGGCAGGAGGAGCACAAGTTCAAAGGTAGCCTCAGCAAAAAGTGAGGCACTGAACACTCAATGAGACCCTTTCTCTAAATAAATTACAAAATAAGGCTTGGGATGTGGCTCATTGGTTGAGTGCCCCTGAGTTCAATCTCCAGTACCAACAACTAAGCCACCAATGCAAACAATATACAACATTAAAACAAATAGCTCTTACTATGATGTCTACAATACTAACTATCAAAATAAACAGAAATTATATGATGAGTCATTGCCTACAATAAAAACAGCAAGTTTTCAAAGGGGTTTACAATTTTAAATGGTGGACACGGAGAGAACAGAAGTGCTATAAGATGTGATGATTATGAGGGAGAAGGAGAGAAAAAGAAATAAAAAAATTAATGGAACATTAAAGAGCACAATAGAGATTGGCTATTAGCAAGGAAAACAGGTTGGGGAAAATATTTATATAAAGTAAAAATTTAAAAAGATTTGAAAGTAAAAGAATGCAAAACTCAAATATACTAATCAAATATCATAGTTCACAAAAAACCAATCCATGAAAAATAATCGGCTTCAAAAATTCTGGAAATGAAAAAAAAATATGAAAATGTATAACTGTCTATGAATCATCATGGTCACAATCAAACAGAGAAAAAGAACTTAAAAAAAGAAAGAAATCTCAATGAAAAGTTGAATTCTTTCCGTTGGCCTTCAAGATGTTCCCCGCTTCTCTCTCAGCAGTGTTGGGTGAAGTCTTCTGGAGTGGGATGTTCCCCTCTGGCCTGCTGGGGTGAGGTGCTCCACAGGCGGAGCTCCTGGAGGCTGGGTCGGGCTCAGGTGGGCGCCAGGCTCTTCACTGAATGCTTGTTGGTCTGGGGGTTGTAAGTCCGTGCGTCTCCAGCGCCCAGGGCTTGCTTGTGCAGGCTGGGAGGCTGTACTGAGGGATCTCTCCCGAGCT